TTTTTAACACACCGGCGTATGATTAGTTTGTAATTTTATTTAAAATTTCTAGCTTTCCATCTTATGCGGTTTATCTGCCAGGCGCAAGGACTCAAAAATTTCAATGAAATTTCATTGATATTAATTTAACTTACATTTGTCATCCATATGTTCATACCATCACTGTTCAGTACACTTAAATTGTTTGCCTTTGTAATAATAATAATCGAAGTTAATGTATTTCTGATAAATCTAAGTATTCGTTATTTGTGCTGCTTCAAATTAGTGATCAATTGTATTGCTTATCTACTCATGTAATTAATCCTGTTGATATTTAATTAAAGTCTTTTTTATAAAGAGATTTTTTCTGTTGTAGAGCATTTTGTGCCATTTATATCTTTCTGACTATCACAACAATTTTGACTGTGATAAATATTTGGAGAGTTTCGAACCGGAATTTTTTCCACTTTGGTTTTCGTTTCGGTTCAAAACAAAAGGAATATATCGGTTCGGTTTCGGTTTACGCTTCGGTTTTTTTCGGTTTTTGGTTTGGTTCTGGTTCAAAGTTCTGAATTTTTGATATATCAAATTAAATTGCAGGATAAGAGAGTTTTTCTCTTAAAACACATTGACGATGCAAATAAACAGATTGATTTATCTATATTATGTATCTGTTCTCTCATACTGCAAATTATATTCAGCATTTATATTTCCTTAGAATGGTACGTAAATATGTGGAGAAACTACTTAACAGAAGTTAAATATATATAACTTGGTTGCTGTTGTATAACAAAACATGAAATTGTAACTGTTTTTTTAATTACTGAAATGGTTAGAATTGTTTTATATATAAAGTTTATTTTAAAAGTTTTTTACAAGTGTTGAAATTCAGTTGTAATTCAGCTTAGGAATATCGGAAAAAATCAATTATTCTTCATCAATTAAAAAAATGTGTATAATATGATATTTTTTTGATTAATCATTAATATTAAATAGGTTAATTGATAATGTAATCTTATATTAACAATAATTACATTTAAACGTTTTTAAAACAAACTAGTATAAAGTGGTATTAATACATCATTATATATTAAATACTATGATCACAATTCTGATCTTTGCATGACAATAGTTGTCAACATTGCAAAAAATAAGAATAATTGATATTTTATGCCAATATTGAAGCATCCGTTTTTCTTTAAGGATATTTCATTGGTGTTGAGTAAAATGTTAAATTGTTTCAGATCTAATAATGGTATAAGAATCAGCATGTGTATTTTCGACGGAATTCCAAATTTGGGGACATGCCTGATTGACAATGAACTGTAGGTATACCGATATATCTTACTTTTCGATTTATCAGATTTTAAAGCTGTTCAGCTTTTATATAGATTCCAATAACAAAAAGCCACACATCTATTACTGACAGTTTGCAAATTTTACGTTGATTACACAAACGTCTGCTTATAAATAACTCTTTCATCGATTGAAACCGAAAACAAAAATTTCTCACATTAATATACAATTAAAATTTTTTATGAAATTAGCATATAAGCGAGAAGGGGATCGAAGAAGGATATAATTTAAAAGTTAGGGGCATGATTATGAAAATTGAAAACAAAATCTAAGACCTCATTCCTAGAGATCTTGTTCTACCCCAGGACTACGTCGTTAGTGTTACTTCGAGGTAGGGTCCCTATTAGTCATTTAAGACTTCCATCGGTGTGTAGTCAATCTCGCCGAAATTTCTTTCGGTCCACGACTTTACGTTCGAAATCATCTTTGCCGTCCATCTTCCTTTTAAATCGGAGTTCCACCGTTGTTGCCAGATCTGAAAAGTTTGTTCTCTTATATCTTGAAGGTCTGTTGAGTTGTTTGTCGATCTCTGTTTCCAGCGTTTTTTCTGTTCATATGCCTGGAGTTCGATAGGGATGATTCCACTAATCACCAGAACTGCAGTCTCGGATACGGTTCGATATGCAGAAGCTACCCGAAGTGCAGCAGTCCGCTGTACAGCTGCGTAAACTTTCCTCCTACATTCAACCTTTAAGGCGTTTGTCTAAGTCTCGCACCCGTAAAGTAATATTTGATTTGTGATTGCCATAAGTAATTTTCTTTTTCTTTTACTCCTCTCACGTTAGCCATCAGTCTTCCTAGCATCGTAACAACTTTGCTTGCTTTTGCCGCTGTTTGTTTTATTTGAGCCCAATAAGTCAACTTAGAGTCTAGTTTCACCCCCAAGTATTTGATCTCCTTTTTCGTATATATGGTGCTGTCGCAAACGAGCATTCCAATTTCCAACGGTATATTACGTTTAGTGAGTACTAGCAATTCAGTCTTTTCGGTGGCGAGTTTAAGACCGTGTGCATTTAGCCAATTTTGCACTTGTATCATCACCATGTTGAGCTTCCGCTGAGCGTTTTCCGTATTTCTTGCCGTAATTAGTGCTGCGATATCATCTGCGAGGTGTGTGTCATCAGGCATCTTGGATTGCAGGATTCCATCATATACCACGTTACACAAGTCGGGGCCCAAAATAGATCCTTGTGCTACACCTGTGTTGATACATTTTTCTCTTTGTCCTTCCTGAGTATCATAGACAAGTAGCCGATCTTTCAAGTAGCTGCGGATCATCTTCATTAAATACGGGGCAATTCTGAATTTAGTACGTAGAGATTTTAGAATACTTTTCCACTCTACGCTGTTGAAGGCATTTCGAACATCGAGTGTTGCGAGAAGCACTATCCTCCACGAGTAATGGTTTCCCGTTTGTGCAGTTTCTACTGTATTTACTATGTCTTCTATAGCTCCTAGTGTTGATCTGCCATTTCTGAAGCCATGTTGTCTACTTGAGAGCCCGCCGGCGTCGTTTATCGCTGCAGTAAGTCTTGGTTTTAGTAATTTTTCAAGCAGTTTACCTGCGGTGTCTAGTAAACAAAGTGGCCGATATGCTTCTGCTAGCTCAGGGTTTCCTTTTCCTTTGCTTATCAGAGTAAGCTCCTGTTTCTTTCATGCTTCCGGAAAGACTCCGTTAACTAGACATATGTTGTAAATGTCCAATTCTTGATCGATGTTTTGATAAAATTTTTAGAACTTCAAAAGGAATCCCATCCGGCCCTGGAGCTCTATTATTTTTTAATGAGTTCACTGCTCTTATTAATTCATGCTTTGTAAATTGGGGTGAGCCTTCCTCTATAGGTAACTCTTCATTGTCCTGTAGTGGAACATGTGTCGGAAAGAGTGAATCAACTATATTTTTCATTCTATCATTAGAGTATAAAAGTGGATTAAATACTAAATCTAGGATGAAAGCACAAAAAGACAAGACGAACGACTGGTAGTGGTTAGCATTTAACTTTTGGCTTCAGTTAACGATATCTTAAAAGCTAAGCTATATTGACGTACAGAATAATGGAAAAAATCATTTAAAATAAATGATTCTACTTAACTAAATTGTGAAAGAAGAAACGATTCTGGGGAATCGAATGGTATTTATATAAGCATCTTAACACAATGGTACATATACTTTTTGTCTCTATATAATTTCATAAGAAAAATTTCCTCATTATATTTCGTATTTTCTGTAAATAAAAACTAAATGTGTATTTGTTGGTTGGTTGATTTAAGTGGTGATGAGTCCGATTAGCGCTTCCGCATTCTTTTGCCAGATCTTCGTTATGAACTTAGAGTAGCTTGTATTGACAGTACCGTGTAACCCAGTCCGCGCGGATTAAAAATACCACTTAAAATCGTTACTGCTTATATCTACTAGCTTCTTATAATGTTCTTCTTATAATAATGTGAAAAATATTCTGAATGCCTGCTATATCATAAACACGACCTAAGTAATTACTGCCATAAGTCTTGGAAGATTCCTTTTATTTCTATTCACCAGTGATAATATTTTTGTGACATTCTACCATGGCCATAGTATCCTATTAGCGCTATATATATTTGCAAGTTTTTTCTAGGTAGAAATTGATACTTAAAGATATTTACATACAACTACATTCATTGAGGGTTTCTTTTGTGGCTAATTCTTTACTCGTTAGTTGATCAACTCTACATTTGGAAGTCCCATATACCAGTTCAGAGATATATTGTGTTGTTTTATTTGTTATGATTTTGAAATGTTAATAAAGAAAAATATCTATTTAGAATAATTTCAAATGAAAGATAGAAATATTTTATTAATATCTTATTTAGCTATTTATTTTATTGAAATCATTATTAGTTTTAATTGCTTGAAAAATTAATTAACTCTGAAATTAATATTTCAGATATTAATAATTAATGTGTGTACAAAAATATTTCATTAAATAAAATATTTTTCTAAATATTGGCACAAGCTATACACGTAAAACTGTTTGGTAATATAGTAATCTGAACATCGAAATACTTCATTAATATGAGCTGAAGACTTTAAGACTTGTTTTTGACTCTCTTTGGCTTGTGAGCAACGAAAAGATACAAACTGATTCAAATAAACAATAGTTCACAGAAGAAATTAACCAGAATCAGATATTTTTTTATTTATGTTGTTAATTAATAATAATTAAATGTTGTGTAAATATTTTGTCTTATGACAAAATATTAAAACTCATCATACACTAAATAAAATTTATATGTTTTGAAACACAATATTTAACATACACATTGTATTTCTAATATTATCATTAAATATTTTAGTTTTATTTTTAATTTATTTATTAATTTAGTGTTTATTAATTTTTTTATATTATACATTGAAAACTCAATTTTTATTTAAATCTTTTCAATTAAAAACAAAACATAAATTTTTTAATAAATTTCAATGGTTTTCACAATATGAAAACATAATTGAAAAATTTTTCCAGTGTATATATGAGTGAAATTTTATTTGTAATTAACTCAGTTTACGTTACTCGATTGCAACAGATAGTTTTTTATTTTTGGTGATAAGATAAGATAAGTGCAAATATCGCTTAACAAGTGTAATATCTTAAGTCTGAACCAAAATACTTCAGCAGTTTGTGATAATAAATGCGAGTTGTCGGAAGTTCGCGGAATGAAATTCCCGTATATTTAGTAAAAGTTTAATAAGTTTATCAAAATTTATTTTACTTTATGTGAAAACTTCTATTTCATCAAATAGAAATTTAGTGAACCACAAATAAAAATATATTATCTTAAAATAGTGATAAAGTGCAAGGTATGAATTATTGAGAATTCACAAAACTGATTAAACTGTAGATAAGCATTGACTCATATACAAAATTCAATTCAAAAGAAATTTACTTGTGGATAGTGAATTTAAAAAATAAAAAAATAAAATATTATTTATCAGGTGTAATTAACAAATTTAATACTTAGGCCCATAAAATGTCGATCAATTGGAAATGTACTTTTCTACTACTAACTGCTTTGTTGTGGACTGAACTGGCAAAAGCACAAAATACGACAGTTTTGCCAGAAAACAATAGCACCACCGCAGCACCTACCACACCCGAGGTAAATAAATAATATTTTATAATTTTTATAATGATATTGATAATATTGATAACAAATATTTTTTTAAGATTATCTAACGACAACTGAGTAATATTAATTATAGACATTTCTGATACGTATATTATATTTGATACTGAAATAAATTGATTGTGTGTCTCCATATATATACGTTAAACTCATTTTTAGCCACGAATGTAATTTTATAACTCTACATATATTATCACAAATATATATATGACTTGTACTCAAAAAGTTTGTACAAAAAATAAATACATTTCTAAAAGTGTCATATACAAGTCTATACTTACCTTCATCATAAAGTTTAAGAAAAATTACTTTTTGCTTATTACTCATTAAATATAATCAATTTATAAAAATTAACTCTAGTGGTTTTCTACAACTAAATTATCTGAGTTATAAAAAGGATTAATGAACCATTTAAGTTTCTCTATCTTTTATTAATAATAGTTCTTATTGTTTCTATAGTCTTACGAGTTGTTTAAACCTCTTCATTTGAAAGCTAATCAGTTGTAGTATATAATGTAACATATGTACAGTAGATATTGCTTTTAAGTATATAATATATATGTATGAATAATGCACTTTTTCTAAATGTCCTCCATTGTTCTATATATCATAGCTCGTGTGCTGGAAAGGTTGGTAATTCAAAGACTTTAGTATTCGGACCTCTGTTTTCATATCCACATGTATGTTGAGTTGTCTCAACATGCATCGAAATCAATTCTGATCCAAAGCCGTACTTAGCATTCCGACTTGAAGTTTTGTTATTTTTCTTACTGCAATTTTTTAACTTGAACCATATAGTATTAAAATTTCATATAGGATATAAGCACTAGCTAGCAACTTTATTGTATTTTCAGCAATTATATGTATACGAATAATAATATTAAGTTAAGCTCATGTTTTTTTATTTTTTATTTTATCATTGCAATACTATCAAAATACTTCATTCACTGATATTACTAATATAGCATATAAATTTTAGATTTCTAATGTGATGTAGTTAGTCTCAGAAACTTTGATAACTCTTGTCATCATTAAAAAAACACGAAACAATTTAAGAAATTTAAAAAAAAATTAGTTTTAGCTTTACATCAGAAATTAACTTCCAGCAATTCTTAAATTCACAAAAAATCCTATTACAAACTCCTCGTTGTGATTTAACTCTACTTTATATCTTTAGATATTAATAGCTCTGTACGTGGCTTGCGACAATATTAACCTAAGCTAGGAGACTCATTTTATGCATACCCATGCCCCAATATATACACGTGTTTCAACTTTGATGAGATGAGTCATTGGTTCATGAAGCAAAAATATTCAGTATTTTACATTTCAGAATTTTTCGAAATACATGTTTTCGATAGAACTTTTCCCAAAACACCATCCGTTTAAAAAATTCCAGTATCTAAAATATTATAGTCCCTTAAGTTTTTTTTAATTTTATTTTTTAATTTTTTGGTGAACTTTTCAATTTTCTTTCAGTCTTTTCGATGTTCTTTAACTAATAAAAATAAATATAAATATAAATTATACATTAAATATTAAATACAAATATAAATTTGTATTTAAATCCGTTCAAAAAGAATTCAGAGTTAACATTTTTTCATTCATTTTATATATATCATTAGCTTATTATATTATAAAAATTTTTTGTGAAAAAATTATTTATTCATGACTCACCATTTTTCTGTGATTATTCTTTAAAGCTCCTTAGCGAATATATTTTACAACAAAAGTGCCCACGTTTATTCATTACTATAAGTACGTTTTTCACTAAAAAAAGCTGGCACTTTAACTGTTGCGTATTAATTAATATATATATGTTATTGCTGAAGATTGCACCACAGAGTTCAATATTGTGTAAAATATTTAAAGCAAATATTGAGTTGAATATTGGAATTTAATAAAAGTTACTAGATAGACACACAACTATAAAAACACACGATCATAATCTAAAATATATATATATTCCATTCAAACAAATTAAATGTGACTTATTTATTCAGGGTTACACCTCCATCCGATTTATTTCACTTGTATGTTATATATGTTAAAATGAATCAGTTTGACGTATTTCTTTATTATTATAATAACTTCTATATATTGTTTTTTTGACAACAACAAAAATAATCGCAATATAATACATTACAATGTCTTCTCAAAGTACTTTTTTAAAATTCACATAGTGATATCGTGTCCCATGGGATTTCTAAGCGGTAATCTTTAAATAAATGTGCCTACCATAGTTTAAATGTTCTTCTTCTAGTTTCTGAAATACACTAAAATGTGTGTCAAGGAAATTTTGTTTTGATAAATTCTATTGCTTATATTTTGTGCAATTCCAGTGTTTTTTAAAAGTTAGAAAAAGAAACAATAAATATGAATGACAGCAAATGGTTCAGAAATAAAAAGTTCATATGTATGAAAACGTTCTTTGCCTTCTTGATTTTTACTGTGATGAGATATGCTCTGATCTCATACAAGTTAAATTGACCCAATTAATTTTGTTAGAAAAATTTTAGCTCAGGAGGTAAAGAAGAACGAAAAACCAACATGAGGTATGATTAAACCGCTGAACTTTAAAAACGATTGGAGTTCTCAAAAAAGATAACGTATAGCATTATTGCTGCATTACAAAAATACTATTTTAACTTTCTTTCTTAGACTCCAATAAGGTGATTGACTTTACCTGACTATTCGTATATAAGTGATTGCTCTCTTCGCAATCACTGAGGCTCTACTCTTAGGGTTGTACACGTTAGCGCATCAAAGAGTAATGTCAGCCCCCTATTTTCTCTCAAAAATCTCAAGTTACATCAGCTGTCATCACTTATGCAGCTAATAATATTATTCCTATAATATAAAGTTATTACTCTTCAGTACTGCATACGAATTAAAATGTGTAAACAGTTATACTATTTGTATATGAAACAGCGATATCTTATAGAATATTTATATTCCTTTAAGAAAGCCGAGTATTCTTAATGGTTCTCTTATTATTTGATCACACCACACCATTTTTAAAATTTATCATCATATGATGTGGATGATTCTAAAATAACCCTATCTCTTATTGTTTTTTGGTTGGTGAGTTTTAGTAGAAATGTAAAATTTATCCTTTTATCCTTTAATTTTGTTTATCCTTTAATGAGTGTGATTTAAATACAAATTTTCTACATTCATATATATGTTTCACTTCTGTTTTTAGGTAAAATTTGAGGGGCATTTAGTAAACAATGAATTAAAGTCAATAGAAATACAAAGATGCACTAAATAAATAAAACAAATATTGTTATTCTTAATTTTTCATTTGAAGTATCGAACTACAATAGATGAATCTATGACTACAAAACTAACAGCTCGTATAGAACGAACACGCTAAAAAGGCCGAACTACGTTAGAATTTTTATCATTGAATGTTAAAAGGAGAATAATAATAGAATATAATTTATATTCAAAACGATAATATATTATTCAACAACGTTGCCTAAACTTTATCTTTGAGCTTTCAAATGATCTGTTGTTTTTAAAACGATTTTCTGGAACTTATATATATCACATATAAACTTCATTTATATAAAATATTTAATTACATTTTTTATTAAAATATAATAAAAATACATTTCCTTCATTTTTTAAATATTTTCAAACAAAACAAAATAAATAAAATAATCTAATAATATTTTTATTATTTATTCAAATAAAAAAAAAAAAATATATGTCTATTCGAATATCAAATATTTGCGACTTTACTACTACACATAAGAGTTTGTTGTTATCAAAATCATTGACTTAAACAATAAATTTTTTATCTATTATTAATATTTAGTTTTTTTGAATAAAATTTTTGTAGCCAAGAATAATTGTCAAAGATAGCGATTTGTGCAAGAAATGCAATTGTCTATTCGATGTTGAACCTAAGGAACTCGATTGCAGTGGAAAAAATTTGACAGACTGGCTTACAACAGATGAATGGAACATACTTCAAAAGGGAGATGTTACTTTTGAAACATTAAATTTTAAGAATAACAGCTTAAAAACTATACCAGTTTTACCAATGTATCCTGTTAAGTATCTTTATTTGTCTGATAATCAAATTGACAATATAACAATTGGTGCTTTTCAATATCTGAACGTATTGCATACATTAGACTTGTCACATAATAAAATAACTGCGAAAGTACTTGTACCAGATGTATTCAGAGGACAATACGATCCAAAAGCTTACTTACCACTTAACAATTTGAAGGAACTTAATTTGGGATATAATGATTTGCATAGCTTAGATGCAGATCTCTTTGAGCACGCACCAGCACTAGAGACACTAATATTGTGTCAGAATAGTTTTCAAGTTATCGATAAACTGAGTGAAACGGCCATTTCTGGACTATTCCATATGAAGGTTAACTAATATTTTTCATAATTATGAAATAATTTTAAAATATTGTATCTTATATAATAGACATTGGACTTGTCTTACATGGAATTAGAGGAATTGCCACAGAGTTTTTTAAATGGACCGAGAGAACTGGAGACGCTTATTTTATCAGGAAATGAGTTTGATGAATTACCAGAAACTTTAAAATTAGCAAAGAATTTAAGACAATTGGTTCTAGATGATAATCTTTTTGAAGAATTCAATGGAGAAGAGTAGGCATTAAAATAATTATTATTATAAAGTGTTACATATTATATATATAATACCATGTGCTGTTATTATATAAAATATATACATACATAAAATATAACTTTTTTAAAAATTGTATTTTTTAGTATCGCCAAGTACGGTCGATTATTGCTATTAAAACTAATTCACTTTCTAAATATTAATTAATTTGTCAGGTATCACAAGTTTTGACCGATGTACTGCTTCCATGAGATGGTAAAAAATAATGTTGTTCTATTAGCAGATATATGTGACCTTACTAAAAAATGCTAATTTATAAAAGTTATTTTTTCCTCACATAAACCAACACATTTCAAAAATTTGATTATCTTATAATAAACATTATCGTTGACGTATTTATTACAGAATTTTCCCCCTTTTACCTAACTTGCGCTACTTGAGTATATCATACATGCCAGAATTAAAAAGAATTGGCAAGAATGCGTTCAGCGATCTACAAAGTGAGTTGTTTTTGTATTTGCAATAAATTTGAATATCACTAAATGACAATAATTTTTATTATTCAGATCTTACCACTCTGATTGCTTCCAGTAACCCAAAGCTGTCCTATATCGATGAGGAAGCTTTTTCGAAAAACACTACTAATCCATTGATACTATCGTATCCACCAATGCATGAGGTAAGCAAAATAATATATATATTTTGAAAAGAATAACCACTTTAATATTATCTTTTAATTTTAGTTATATTTGCATAATAATAATCTCACGATATTGCCAAGAGAACTCTTTGAACGTTGGGATAATATTCAAATGCTTGACTTGAGATTTAATCCATGGGTATGTGATTGCTCTAATAAGTGGTTGGTTGAATCTATTATTGTACAAGTTAATGCCACTACTCCAAATTTGGTCACAAATGTGGAGTGCAATTCGCCAGCAGACTTGAAATCCGTACCAATAATTGACTACGAACCTAAATCTAGCTGTTATAAGGGTAAAAATGAGGGTACTAGTGGAAGCAGCCTTGTTTTGATTGGCTTACTAGTGGGTATACTCATAAGTATACCCATCGCCATTGGTGGTTTCGCTTTATACAGACGTGGTTACTTCAACTGGCTAAGAAGAGGAAACTCACGTAATGATAATCGTAATATGTATGATCGTGCTAATTTTTCAGATGATTTTCATATATAATTGCAAAGAGAAAATTATCTTTAAAATACGTTGTTATTTATGTATGTGTCATGTTGTGTATCAAAATGTGAACAATAAATTATTTTTTTAACTTTTTAATTTAAATAATGTCTTTTTAATTATATGGTATAAAAAATATGTAATACAATATATTATATTATTATAATATTGTGATAATATATATAGTGTCAATGTTTAGAATTAAATCGCTAAACTATATAAGCAGTTAAGATTCATAAGAAAAATTACAATTGTAATAATAATAATAACCAATTTGAACAAAAAAATTAAATTATATATTGCAGTTCATTAATAAATATGAATGCTCTTAATTTGAACACTTGTGTGATTCTTCTATTTGTACTGAAGTTCTTGAATAAAGCGAATCAATTTTTAGATATTCTTTTGTTCAATCCCCAATACAAAAAATAATTAATAAAACCTTTTACTGAAAAATCTAGAACATACTATCATTAAAAAGATAGATCAAGAAGCAAATGAAGGGGACTGATTGACTTATGCATTTTAAAAGAATATGTAGGTACTTAAATAAGTTCCTAATATTTCTTTGACTGCATTACAAACATTTAATAAATGTAATGATTTTTATTGCATTATTTTAATATTGTAATAGTATTATAATACTGTAAGAGTATTATGTTAATACTCTTTATTTTACAGGTAATAGGTAGAGTTTGTGTTTGTATATAAAGTGTATTTGCATATATGGTATATATATAATAGTGAAAACGGACTACAGGTCTTAGTTTGCTTTTGCTCAAACTATCTATAAGTTTTTTCTTGAATACTTTTTTGAATTTTTATTTCTAGTTAATACAATCAATGTATAACAATGTATAAGCTTTGAGTCTAATAAACCTCCAACATTCTTCACATAATCAAACCAATTAATATTATTATTATTGTCAAAAAGAAGGGATTGTGCACTGCGATCTAATAGCTCTATTGTACCGCTTATTCGAGTTAGAGTGTTTCTACAAGTCCGATTTCTTTAATAAAAGACAGAATGGAGCCTATCTCCTAGTCTTGAATCTTAATGATCCATGAAATACCCTCCTAAGTGTTTCTTTCGCTTGTGCATCAGTGCCGGGCACTCCCCAAGCACATGATATGCATTTTCTCTCTCTTCTCTACAGTATTTGCAGTCTCAGTTGAATTGAATTCCTAACTTCGATAGGTGATTATTCAATCTACAGTGACCGGTTAATAGTCCCGTAATAATTCTTAGGTTGTTTTTTGATTGTGCTATGCAATCTTTGAAGTGTTTTAGGTTGTAAGTCCCTAACATTAGGAACACAAGGGAATACTAGGATCCCCCCAATTAATATTATTAAAATAACTTATGCCTCTTATAGTTTTGAGTCAATATAACTACTGTCGATGTTGAAATTCTGCAAAGGTAACAAACACAACCTAATATCTGTGGGTCAGACTCCGTTCTTGAGGACGAGTTGTATTTCGTATTGAAGATTTTGAGGTCAAGCAAAAAATATAAGAAAAGATAAAAACGCACACCAATGGTCTACCTGTAAGTCATGTGGACAGAAATTGGTTTGCATAAATATTAAAGGGAATTCAAGTCTATTTAAAGTAAATTATTTCAAAATTTCAGTAAGGCAGCAGATTTATATTAGAGAAATTATATTTATTTGTTTGAAAAAGATGGACATGACATCACGGAATGCTCTGTATTAAATTGGCAGAATTGCGAGTGATAAGTGTTTAGTCCTAGAAATTAAATAAGACGAGTGGAGTAGTACGTATTAAAAATTAATAGAATTGTTTTTTGAGTCAAAAAGTCTATTCAAAAAAGTTTTCACTTATAATCCAACCGTTTCTACCTATGTCATATGGAGCACATATCAACACCTTATTCATGTATTTCAATAATGTCTAATCTATTTTTCTTTTTTAATGGATTTAGTAACAAAATTTAATTTCGTACATATTTAAGAATACTTTACTTTTAATACTTCACAATTCAACACTCTCTCAATGAAACAGTAATATTTATCTTCTTCTTAAGCTTCTGTTGTATATAATCAAATGCATCATTTAATTTTAAAATCTTTGGAATTGATTATAGAGTATAATTTTGGCCATACAACAAAAGATTCTCGTACAATATTTGCTTTTTGCAACCTTAAGATCTATTTTGCACATACTGGTTTTTTTATGTCTGATTACCTCAATTAACCGTAGTATAATTCCTACTTTAAAGAGTCTAAGCACCCTAATCTGTATCACTTCTGTTAGTAATATTCGCTTTCTTTTGTGCATTAATGCAGGACAATTTAGACGTATATGCATTGGCGACTCTTCTTCGAAGAGTGTGTAATCTACTACTAGCATTAGAATGTATCCCTAGTTTCGCTAAGTGACCACTGCCGTTTCAATAAATCATAATTATTACTACATTTTCGATAGTATTAAAAATTTGTAGTTAATCTACATTTCATAATTAAACCACGTTTTTCATTACTTAAAAATACTTTTTATTAGTTATTTAGTTATTAATAATGCTAGAATGAATCTTTAGCAATTAATTTCAAGAACATGGATGTTGTCAAAAAGCTGTTATGTGGGGCTATAACAAACTTTATGAACATTGACGAACAGTAATAAAATGTTATATATATCAATTAATCATAATCAATGAAATTCCACAATATTGTTACACCATTCTAATAATCAGAACTGCCTAAGCATATGCATCTTGCTTTCATAACTTTACTGCAAATTTTTTACATATATTAAGGGAAGGCTAATACCCATAGAGTATTATTACAAAATATCACTTCAGGCACACTTTTAGGGGAGGGTTGCCATCCCATATGCTCCTCTTGCCAATGCCCATATTTTAGAATACAAACTACCTTAGCAAAAACCATAACCCTTCGGTAGTTATTTTGTTCTAATTAAAACTAATTTTTCTAACAGCACTGTTCAGAAACATTTTTGTTATCCTTTTATATCCTTTGAATTTCTGTTTTAATATTTAAATCATAACTAAAACTGAAACAAGAAAATTGAGGAATAAATTTTTTTTTCATTAATACTGGTACAAAATAACAATCTAGAAAATAAGTGAGGCGGATGACAAGACTATAGTTCCGCTCTCTTCACATACACGTTGAAATGATTTTAGGTTGAAGGTGACCTATTTCGACTTTTTTAATGTAAAAATGTTGTAAATATTTTGGTTTAAATTTTGATTAAATGAACATCTCGTGTGACCGAACTAAATAGGTAAAAATTAATCTCTTTTACCACAGAACACATGCTGCCTCATGCGTAACTCAGGCGAAATGATTTATTGCAGAACAAAATTGTGTGTCAGAAATATGAATATGAATTTTATATACTTGTTCCCTATTCCACTCCCATCCGGTTTGTGTATGTCATTGTGGAATTTATATGTAACAACACATTTTGACATAAACATTTATATTACAATGGAAGTATATAAAAACAAGAGTGAGTGATTCTGGTTCTTCATCCTTTAGAATGCGTAGCTTTAAAGCAAAACTTCTACATTTCAATCAAAATTCAGTTCCTATACTGTTTCCTGTAGATAAGCTCGTTCCTTAGCTAAAGTCCCAATGACATTTAACACCTGCTTTTAATTGATTTGATTTGTTTGCTACTAAATTGCATTAATAATATAAACTCAAATCTGAAAGTTAAATTCAAAACACAAACAGTTGGGGGCAACCATCCTTTTCAAAAATAATCAAGATTTTCCAGAGTACTGTGCTTTGCGGAAGCATTTAATGTGCTGTAGAATTTTACACAAGGAGCACAAATTCACTTTATTAAGGTGAATACGTAAATATATACAAAAATTTATTTATATATAAACATATTGAAATTATTTTCTCAACTGCATCACAAACCGTTTATTTGCTGGACTTTAATTTGTTGAAAGTTAACTCCGATATTCAAATTTCAAAAAGTCTTTTTTCTTGTTAATATGATTATGAAATATATCTAATGTATCTATACAAAGTCGGTTTGGTACTGTTTATATATTCAATATATGGAACTTTAGTAATTTAATATATTTTTTATACACAAAGTAAAATTAGTTTTTTATATTCTCAATTGTCCTTGATTTTATATTACGAACCTATCCCAATCTATTTCTGCTTTTATTTAACCACTTTCCGAATTGTGCTTAAGTTAATAAAAAAAATTATCACACAGAAAAATCTTACAAATGTTTGTGAATACTTTCATAAATATGACTACTTTAAGGATATATAAAGGATGTGATTTCATGTTTTCCTTTTTTTTATTAATGGAATATATATTTGACTCGAAATTATTGTTATCAGCAAAATTTATAGCAAGAAATTGAGGTAAATGGCAAACTCCTTACATTTTAATCAAGTTTTGCATTTGTTTATAAAACTACACTGATAAAAAATTCTTAATCCTTAAGAAGAAGAAGGTATCGTAAAAAGAAATTCATTATTGTAGATTTATGCCAAATGTACGCTGATTTGCTCAATAACTTGTTCGATTTTATTATACTTCTGTCGTAGAAGTCCTTGTCCGTATCGGCAAAGTATTGTACCAGTTGATTTTCATAAGCCGCTCTTAAAGTGAATTTTGTACCAGAAAAATCAATCGGTATGAACAGAAACACATGGTAATTAGTTGATGCCAGGTCTGGACTATAATGTGAATGCATAGGAAGTTCCCAACCAAGCTTCCGAAGAGAGTCATTATTGATGTGTGTGATCGTTTTCGTTTGAGGTTATCGTAAATGATCCACTTTTCATTACCAGTCACCAACCGCTTCAGAAATGGGTGGAATTTGTTGCGATTCAACAGCGATTCGCAGGTGAAAATTCGGTCCATGAGGTTTTTTATGTTAATTCATGTGGCACTCATACACCGAGCTTCTTTTTCTAACCAGTGTTATTCAAATGATTCCAAATAGTTTTTGTGCAATGTTTAGCTTTTGGGCAATCGAAAAGTAAACAGTGCTTACACTGTTCGGGTATCGGACTCGACAATTTCCATAATGTTATCAACATT